TTTGGAAATTATCCGGTGTTACAGGGCACACTGTCATTCCACCTCCAGGTTTTGCTTTCTTGTTTTGTTCAAGATCGTTTCCCAAAAAGCAATGACCCAGGCCAGCATCACTGTTTCTATAGATATATGTCTTGTCCATTGACTGTGGCCTTTTGCAGCCATAGTCAATGGAAATCATACACCCTGTTTCTACCAGACACACTTCTGCGACTGGATTCCTGAAATCAGCTTTCAGACAATGTTACTAAAATCCCTTTACAGCTTCTTACCTGCCTTTCGGAAGCCTTGATGTAAAAAGACATGACAGATTCTAAGTAAATATTTAATATGCTTCTGGCTGGCCTGTCATTTCCAGATATTTGAATTAAGGAGAAATGCTTATTGCCTGCATTTCAATGAGCTCCACTTTGAAATGGTTCACACTGACATTCTTGTAGTTTATTAAAATTGTGGCCCAAAGGAGTGGACCAATAACATTGAGGGGGGGGGGTGGGTGTGGGTGTACATTATCAAAGGCACCCAATTAATGCCTTTGTTAAATGTTCACATTTAATTTATATAGCAGTCACTTTGATGTAAAGATGAGGAGAGTAGGGTGAAAGTACGCATATAGCCTTACTCTAGGGCCCAAATGTGACTATTCTATCAGCCACCAGATCCAATCCCTTACCTTATGGACATGAGCACAAGTCCCTAACCCAATGGGCTACTCAGTACCCCTCCCTCCCAGCTCCCCGCCGGATAGCCCACATTTTTGCTTCTGGGAGGGAGCAAAAACATTGACTGTCTGTTAGGCCCCTGAGAACAGGATTGAGAAACACTACAATAGACTAAAGACATGGTTTGGGTGAGCTGATGGGTCACGGTTTCCCTTGTGGTGTGTGGCTCAGTGGGTTAGACCACTATGCCTGTGATTATAGGGTTGCTGGTTCAAATCCTGTTTACAGCAGAATAATTACATCTGTGTTGAGCCCTTGAGGAAGAGCCTTAACCTGCTGAAATGCCCCTGGGATGCCAGATTGATGGTCTGACCCCAAGCAGACAGGACACAGTCATGTATTGGCAGCCCTACATTTATGTCAGAAAACACAGCACTTCTCCCAGAAAATTGTTGCAATTACAAATGCTTTGGTATTGTCATGTTTATTTCTCTTGTTGGCACTGGAAGAACACAAAAAGCAGAGGAAAAAAAACAAATCTGAGACATTCCACACAAAACGCCAAAAATGGCCTGGACAAAAGTATTGGCACCCTCAAGTTAATACTTGGTACCACACCCTTTGGAAGAAATAACTGATTTTAATCGCTTTCTGTAACAATCGATGAGTCTTTTACATCTCTCTACTGGATTTTTGGACCACTCTTCCTTTGCCAGCTGCTCCAAGTCTCTCAGATGTGAAGGGTTCCTTCTCCCAACTGCTGTTCTTAGATCTCTCCACAGGTGCTCTATCGGATTTAGATCTGGACTCATAGCTGGCCACTTCAGAACTCTCCTGCTCTTCATCTTAACCCATTTCTGGGTGCTTTTTGAAGTTTGCTTTGGATCCCTGTCCTGCTGTAAGACCCATGACCTCCGGCTGAGACGCAGCTTTTTGACACTGGGCCCTACACTGCGCCCCAGAATCCTTCGATAGTCTTCAGATTTCATAATACCGTGCAAACAGTCCAGACTACCAGTGCCTGAAGCAGCAAAACAAATTTCTATCTCATCTGTCCAGAGGACATTCTCCCAGAAGGATTGTGGCTTCCACAGGTACGTTTTAGCAAACTCCAATCTGGCTTTTTTATGTTTCTGTGTCAGCAGTGAGGTCCTCTTGGGTCTCCTGCCATAGCATCCCTTTGCACTCAGATGGTGATGGATAGTGCCAGTTGACACTGTTGTACCCTGTGCCTGCAGGTCAGCTTGAATTTGTTTGGAAGTTGATTGAGGTTCTTTATCTACCATTTGAACAATTCTTCGTTGTAACATTTCATCAATCTTTCTCTTTCGTCCACGTCCAGAGAGATTAGCTACAGTGCCATGGGCTGTAAACTTCTTTACAATGTTGCACACAGTGAACGCAGGAACATTAAGATCTCTGGAGATGGACTTGTAGCCATGGGATTGTCCGTGCTTTTCTACAATTTTGGTTCTCAAATCCTCAGACAATTCCTTGCTCTTGTTTCTTTTCTCCATGGTCGGTGTAATACACACAGGCACTCGAAAACAAGACTGAGTCTCCATTTTAACTGGTTGCAAGTGGGAATTTCTATATTGTCAGCGTCTGTTAATTACTACAGGTGATCTGAAAGGAGCATCACACGCTTGAAATACAATGATTTCTTACAATTCTGATAAGGTGCCAATACTTTTGTCCAGGCCATTTTTGGCATTTTGTGTGGAATGTCTCAGATTTGTTTTTATCCCTCTGCTTTTTGTGTTCTTCCAGTGCCAACAAGAGAAATAAATATAACAATACCAAAGCATTTGTAATTGCAACAATTTTCGGGGGGGGGGGGATGACGACACCATGAGCTACTTCAGCTTTTACAAATTACTTAAAAACTGAAAGGTTCCTGTGCTTGGCTGATTAGTTCAATTCTTCTTGCGCTTTGTCCCGATTGAAAGACTCATTCAGCTGATTGACATTAACGTTAATGTTACATGCATGATTATGAGAAGCTCAGGAATCAGCACACACCAAGAACTCAGTGCTTAATTCAAACCCGTGTCCTTTTAATTGAATGATAGTTTACACCTGTCCTAGCTCACAGTGGTTCATGTGCTCGCCCTAGTATACAATGCCTAACTCCATGTCCTCCCTGGCATGAATTCCAGGCTCTCTACGCTGGATGCACAGTTACGAAAGATACTCTATAGCTTGGTGATTTATCCATTTTTGTATTGTGTGACAAATCTGTCAGTGGAGACTGGTGCAAGGAGACTCCGCATTTAGCAATTACACAAGCTGTTAAGACCACAGAGTGAGGCACATGACCAGGCTTGAGACTTAAAACTGTCTCACCTCATTAACCGCATAATCATACACATTTTGCAGTTAAATACATTTACATTGACAAGTGGTTTCCTCTGCAGTTTGATAAATTGGGGAAAGAATGTTTATATTTTATTTTCATTTCCAGTAAAATACTTTGATGACTTTTGAAAGATATCACTAAAAAACAATAGCAAATCAGTAATTCAAAAGTGCACTTTTCATACAAAGTACACCAGCACAATGTACAGATATAAAAAGAAATGAGAATGAACTAAAAACACAATATTAATATTCCTATTTACTGTTTATATGTTACATGTTGCAGTGTTTTCATGCATTGCGCATAATATTATTGCATATATCATTACATTCTATAGTCCGTTTTCTTAAACTGGGCTTTATGTATACTGCTGTGCACTTTCTTGTATGTAGTGTTTAGCACAACACAGAAAACACTGAGAAAACGAAATAAGAATTTTCACTGTAATTATTAAATATGGACATGAAAAAACTATAGTCAATACGAAGGATCTTTTAAAATCATCAAATTACGTACAAAGAGTATACATTTTATAAGTGAACGGACTCTGAAACCTTTCCACTTCAAGTGTACACTCAATAGGTGAACTTTCGGAAGTCTCCTTTTTATGAGAAACAATTTTTGTGCACGAGGCAGTTAAAACACGGACAATCCATGTTAGATAAATTGCACCGAGATGCTGTTTTTCCTACTACCAGACGGTGGCAGTGTTGTGTCAAGAATAAACCAAATCTCAACGATACCTATTTACGTTACATACATTGGCGCAAGTGCCAAACAGCATAAGGCGAACACCCTGTATAGAATGCCGGCTCCATTTTGCTTTAAAACCAGTCTCTGCAACTCGTAATAGTTCTGTGTTTGTCCTTTGTAGTTGTTAGTGGTAATAGTAATATTTATGTGAATGAAATGGAGTGCAACATTTTTCTGAAAAGCAGATCAAGGCCTTTGTTGAAAAAATCAAGTGAAATGCGTGCTGATTTGTTCTGAAAGGCTGGGCAACCTCTCTTTTCGTGCCCTCGCTTCCCGGCTAGATCCCTGGCTCCCTGCTCCTCTCATCCCAACTTCCTGTACTTGCTGTCCCCACAACTTCCCGTCCCACAAACACAAGCCAGGAAGTGTAGCACCCGCCCTCCCCAACACACACCCTCAATAAAGTGTTTGTTGCCCAAAAAATGGTCTTTTTCAAAGAGCTAATACTTTATGCTTCTCTGTCATTTAGCGGCACTGATATTATAAAGCAAACCATCATCTGAATTATTTTAATATGGGTAACAAAAAGCTGGACAAAAATTTTAACTTTAGAAAATATAGCTTTGAAAGTGCATAGAGGACTCTGACTAAAAGCTTGAAATTTATGTAACTGTGATCACATCTTATAAGAATTCCAGAAAGTTGAAATGTTCCAATCAATGTTTATATGATGTATTCGAACGCAGAGGAGCTGAAAATAGACAGTTTTGACTCAAGAACTGTAACTTGTGCTTTATAGTCGCTACTATTGAGAGAACAGGTGGATCGAACCCTCCGGAAACACGACCACGCGTATGGACCAACAGGGACGTTGCTCAACCGAGTTTGCAGAATGAACCTGGTTAGTGCACCTTATTAATAGATGTTAATTGCAGCTAACTAATTTATATATATATTCAAAATACCTGAAGAGCGTGGTTACTCAAAATAGAATTGCGTTAATTAATCTCTAATTTAGTATTAGATGTCTGATTTTTTTATTGAATTATATTCTTTAAAACGTTTATACTGTGCAATAAATATAAGAAACATAAGGAACTTAAAGGTTAGTTAAATACAGTCGTACGACTCTTTATTTAATCGCGTTAGCCTAGTAATCACTTGAGTTTAAATTAACAATGATCTAATTAGACAGTAGTGATAGGTGTAATGGATACGTCACACGATTGTTAATTACTCCGGCTTTGTTTTTACAGGTATGCAATTTATGTCTTTTTGTGGTCTTCAGTTTAAGGTGGAAATGACAGCTGGCGTCTCTGAATCTCGTTATTCTGTTTGCGTCCTTGTATCGTCCCGTTGCGTTTAAGACACTCGCCTATTGATGGAGTCTGCATGCTCACCGATGCCTTGCTTATAATTAAACAGCCAACACTCGCTGTGTCCGTGAGTCAAAAGTTTACACCCTCCGGTAAGTGAAATACTGCAATGTGGAGACACTGAGGCGGTTGGTGTGGAGTTTCTGCAGTTATCGGGTTACTGCAACGTGTTAAAGGACACAGTTACTTTTCGCCTGGATCCCCGGCATGCAGTTGCAAAGCTGATATGCTTTTGAAAGCTGTCCTGGAGCCTTAAATCTGCAAACTTGTGCACTTTTCATGATTTGACTGCGTTGATATTAGATTAGTTCTAATAGTTGTTGACGTTTTTAATTCTACCGATAACTGTCCGCATGCGTGTAAATGGAGGATGCAAAGGGAAGGTTAATTTCCGACCCAAGCTGCTGTACTGTATGTTTGCGTATGTTGCCGTTATCTGGGCGATATATCTTTTATGTTCACTGAGACTTCAGATTCCACATCTGCTGTTAATTGGTTTTAGAAACTCCTTTTATCTTGTTACGATTTCTCAACTATTTTAAACGAAGCGAAACTTCGCTTTTAGGTTTACTTCAAGCCAGCACAGACGAAGTACTGTCTTGTAATTAAAGCACCATCTCCGCTTGGCGATCGCTGCACTGACTGAATACGCCGCTGTTTTATCGGTGAGGCAAGTGAGACCAAGGGGGCCAGCGGAGAGGAATTCAGGATAAAAGATCATTTTCTTCTTTTTTTGTCATTGAGGAAGACTGGGAATAGGCATACGTGTGTGTGTGTGTGTGTTTTTGTCTTCAGAAGACTATAGTTTTTCCTGTCTGCCGTGTTAATGTGGGTGATAATAGTGAGACCTAAAACCTTAAATACAGCAGCCTTATTGTTTCCATTCTTCCTTGACGTTTAAAATTGCTCGGTCGATGCTAAACTTTTCAAAAATATTAACAACAATTAAGCCCCTTTTTTGTCAATCCAGGGCGTCTGCCGACATATGTTGCAGTAACATAATGAAAATCTTATTAGTGGCGTCAGTTAAGATGCTTTTTAGACGCTCTGTGTGTTGTATGCTGTTTATGAAATGTATAATGTAGGCTTTAGACTAAAGGGAATTAAGGTCCCGATGTCCCACTGCAGGCTCTCAATGCCTGGACGGCGCATCTTTCTGCACCTTAATTAACTTACCGAAGTAATATATGTGGAAAGTTTAATTATCTCATTTTACCTCCTTCTGTTAGGTCACTTAAGACAGAGTGGTGCATTAAACAGAGGTGTATTTTAAGCTGATAGGAACATAGGCGCCATTTTGTGTAAATTCCCAAATGTGTTTCGCATATAAATACAAAAAAAGCAGTGGAACTTGTTTTGAATTTTAAAGAAATGTGATGGCAGTTTTTTACATTACGTCCTTTGTATGAAAATTAACGTAATTTGCATTGTATTTTTTGTGGTTTGCATATCAATTGTTCTTTGAAACAGAATTGTGGATAAATTCCAGCCTTTGTGGTTTAGTGGTATAATGCACAGTAGGGTAATTATGTTTGTGTGTGTTTGACAGAAGTCAGGAACACCTCTCTAACGGATAGCCGAGTGGTCAAATCTTACTTTTTATATTCTCCGTGTGTATGGGAAAAGTTTCCTTGTGACATCCATTCATCCATTTTCCAAACTGGTTATCCTTTTTGGGTCGTGGGGGGTCCGGAGCCTATCCTGGAAGCTTTGGGCACGAGCCGTGAGGCTGGGATCAACCCAGGATGGGGGGGGCCAGCCCATCGCAGGGCACACTCGCACACCATTCACTCACACATGCACACCCATGGGTAATTTAGTTATTCCAATTAGTCCTTGTGACATCAGAAAGTGAAAACATCTTCTGAACAGTGGGTGCCCTCTCTCTTAATGGTGCATGAAATAGGCTAGTTTAATTTGAATATATAGAACATGTGTGCACCTATAGCTGGTGTAGTGGTTCTCATTATGGAGACCAACGAACAGCAATGGCTACAAGTGAACTTGACCAGGTGGTGACGTGTTCACGCAGGACGACGTCATTGGCTAGCGCATTACAGGAAGGTTTTCTCACTTTCTGTAATGCAGTAAATGGCTGGAACATCGCCAAACTTAACACATTGTTGGGATACATTTATTTTCTTACTTTAAGAATTTACTGTTTTGATAAATGTGCTTAGATGTTTAGTACAGTATATGCTCTTATTTTACCCAGTTCATTTTGTGTTTTAAATGCTTTAAAAAAAAAACATATTTAGGTGTATTTTTTTGGGGCTGGGAACCAATTAATTGGTTTTCCATTATTTCTTATGGGGAAAATTCGATCAGAACTCGAACTTTTTAGGATTCGATCCGGAGTTCTGAATGGGTTAAGTTTGAGTTCTGAGATACCACTTTACTGTTCTTTACTGACGTTTGCATGGGGATACAGGCAGCAGGTTTACATTTTTGCTTTTTCTGGAAATCAAACATGAAGTGTTTCAAATGCAAGATTCTGATGATGCATTAATCAGCATCCAGACCACCACTGACCCGAGGCAGGGTGACGGGCCTAATCCGTGCAGGATATGCGAGGAGTGCATTGTGGCTTTCTGTGAAGTTTTCCTGTAATCTTATAAACATCCGTGCACAGACATTCTGCAAGTCAGAGTTCATGCTTTCATGAAACTGCTAAATTTAAACCCGTTGTTAAAGGTCAGTACAGCTCTGTTTTGGAAAGTGAAAATACAGGAGCTGTTTGAAGCCTGATGTGTTAGACATGGACACTATAGGTAAACTTAGGGTTATTACATATTGTAGTCATTAAAAAGCAGTACCTTTTTGCAAGGTTTCTGTATAAATTTTCAGTATATCTCTTCTTTTACAACAGAACCGTCTTGAAACTAATCGTTTGAGTTTAGTGTCCCTTAATTAGGGTTTTGTATTCTTTTGTCATGAATTATGGGTAAAAGAAATATTGCTGTTATCACGAACTCCCGGATGCTGATTATGCTCAGTTACTTACTGGGGATTGCAGTATTCTATCAGCTAATTATAAGATGCTAGTTTTGATGAGATTTTAATTTCTGCAAATATAACAGCTTTCCACTTGACTGATTTGTTCTGGGGAATTGGCCACAGCCTGTACAATAACAATGCATCCTGTAGAAATAGAGATGATGACTGCTGCCTCACACTTTCAGGGTTGGGTGTTGATATGCACGTCCGCTCTCTGTCTGCAGTTTGCCTGTTCTCCCCTTATCTTGTGGGTTTGCTCCTGGAGTCAAGAAGTTTGGCTAATCAGCGCCTATAAATTTCCCACAAAGTGTGATGGTGTGTGAATTAGGGTTGCAAAATTCTGGGAATTTTCTGTTTAATTCCCTTTAATTCCCATGGAAAGTTTCCAACTTTTGGATATCTCCAAAATTCCACTGCTTGACTTCCCATGGAATGGAACGTTTCTGGAGATTTACTGCCCCTCTGCAACCCTAGTATGAATGGAATGAGATTGATCATATGTGCTTGCTACAAATCTTACTTTAGTGGTTTGTTGTAGGGCCGAGTTCAGGTGATTTGTAATCTGACAGTAAAGAGCCACATGTATTTTAATCTGCTGCAGATAAAGCATACTGAAAAATGCCCGCATTTATTGGTAAGGCATTGCCTTGGTAATGCTTCAGAGTTGTGGAAACCAGGGATAAGGGGTATGATTCAAGTGTTAACTTGAGCATCAAGAACATCGTTAAGCTCGCTAAAGGTCTAAGTCCTCAGCAGGACTGTATCCAGAAATAAATTTAAAGGGGTGTCTGGCAACCTTGCTGGTCCCACTGACTTCATCTTACTGGTGTTGCTACCTACAATTTTGTGTTTTTTTTTTTTTTTGTTTTTTTTTTGAATGTCACAGCACGAATGTGCTTGTGGTACCCTATAGAATCAAAGAACAATTTTTGAAGTGTCTTGTCTCAATGTTAGTATGTGTGTTAAACTTTCTAGATATCATGTCAGCCTTCAGTACTTGTTTATCCAGTGCAAGGTCATGTTGAGCCGGGAATGACTTGATTTGAAACAAAGCATGAGGCACAGTCCCACAAATGCAATTGCCCACTGTGGCAGTCTAGACCCACATCCACCTAACTTGCATGTCAGTGTCTGGGTCCGCAATTGCACCTGGAATTAAACCCTCATCCCTGGAGGTATTCTGCTGTCAGAAAACAATTTGCCAAACTCTGTAGAGAATGACAAGTATGGCCCTGTGGATTTGTAAATGAATAGTAGTCTTTTTAATCTGTAAGATTTCATTGAATTGATACATTCTCCAGAGACTTTAGTTCATGTTGACATGATAGCATCAGACAGTCGCTACAGGTTTGTTGGCTGCATCTTCATGATCCGAATCTCATGTCCCACCACATCCCATAGGTGCTCTACTGGATTGAGATCTGGTGACAGTAATGGCCATTTGAGTACAGTGAACTCATTGTCATGTTCAGGAAACCAGTCAGATGATATGAGCTTTGTCACATGCCACGTTATCTTGCTGGGAGTAGTCATTAGAAGCTGGTCTTAAAAGGATGGACATGGTGAGCAACGATTGTCAGGTAGGCTGTGGCATTTAGATGATGCTCAACCAGTACTAAGCAGCCCAGTATGTCCCCTGCACCATTACACCACCAGCAGCCTGAATTTTGATACAAGGCTGGATGGATCCATGTTTTCATGTTATGCCAAATTCTGACCCTTCCATCTGCATATTGCAGCAGAAATCAAGGCTCATCTGACCAGGCAACCTTTTTCCACTCTTCCATTGTCCAGTGATGGTGAGCCAATGTTCACTGTAGCCTCAGTTGCCAGTTCTTAGCTGACAGGACTGGCACCCAGTGTGGGCTTCTGCTGCTGTAGCTCATCTGCTTCAAGGTTTAATGTCTTGTGCATTCAGTGATGCTCTTCGGCATGCCTTGGTAGTAATGAGGGGTTATTTGAGTTACTGTTGCTGTTCTTTTAGCTTGAACCAATCTGGCCATTCTTCTCTGACCTCTGCCATCAATAAGGCATTGTTGTCCGGATAACTGCTGTTTACTGGATCTTTTTTTATTTATGGCCCATTCTCTGTAAA